TTAACTCAAGCTAGCATTAGCTACACAGATTCAGCCAAACCACATAATCCTAAGATTACCACAATGCTTCCTACAGATACACGCTGCCTGACACGACAATGACAACACCTAGTACAGATAGATTCAGAGCATCCTTTACTTGTGCCCCTTTTTGCTTGATTTCTCGTTCCGTCCAATCTTGCCTTTCTTCTCTCTCCCTGTCTCTGCCTCTGGAGCAGGGCATTGACCACATGGTGTTTTAATTAACTTGCATGCTGTATTGGAGCCAAGGCTAGCGGGAACAGGCCCAGGGTGTGACTATACACTATCACAGTAAAGCAGGAGCTGGGAGTGAGAACCAGTAGCATGTTAGGGTCTCCTCTTTAAATGTTAAGTCTTAAACACGGCATTGTGTGACAGAGCCCAACAGGATTGTTGATACCAACACCGAGATTCAAAGATTACTTATATTATGAAAAGAGACCTCTTCTATGTGCACTGTGCACCAAATTTGCACCAATATGACAATGCAAAGGTACTCAGAAGGCTGCTTTCTTAAACAAATAACTTAAAGTATATTTGAGTTAAATATTGTTTAACATGTTCAATTATTTAACATATACACTGTCAACCAATTCTAGCTGACACTGCTGAGAGCTTCTCTTTCTCGCTTTGTGCAGTATTGACCAGAAATAATAAAGGTTGAGCCTTTCTCAACTTGAAAGTGCTCTGCTGAAAAGACACCCAGAGAGAACCTTTGTCCCTTGTACACACTTGATATATTTCTGAAAATAAATAAATAAAGCTGCTTGCAGGTTAGAAAATGGTGTGTGAATATATCACAAGTCTTGAATGTATAGATATAATTTAGGAGTGAAATAAAAAAGTAACATAACTGTTAGAATAATGAATACCGCAGGAAGTAAGGAACAACAATACTGCTTTTGAGAAGTCTCACCTAACTGGTGTTGGCCTGAGCCCAAATACAAGTGGAGCAGTCATACTTGTGATGATTCCTCCTCAGCACTAGAAGGATTCCTCTCTAGACTTCTCACTTTGACCCTCTCTTCCTCTATTCGGCGTGTATGTTGTCTCTCTTTCTCTTTCTGACAGCGTAATTAACAGGACCGTGGGGTGCTCCGTGTATTGCCCACGGAGCAATGTGACAATCACATCACTGGCCTCAATAAGTCAATCCTCAACCAGTAAAAACTGTGTAGACATTATGGTAAGAGGTTTGTGTGACTAGCAGAGACACATCATGGTCACTGACCGGAGGGGAGGCAGACCTCTTAACATTTAATGTGATTTTAGATTTTCTTCTTCATGCACATTTTCCAGTGACACGCAGACAGGCTGAGAGCTAGTCTAATGCCTTAGGGTGTTTCACTGATCCATGTGAGAAAATTAAAAGTGACACAAGCACTCCTACCAGTGGTAGGACTTATTGAATGTGAGAGCTGAGACTGGTAGACAGGCAGGGACACCTTCCCAAAGATGATAATAGGGGGGTGTTGTAAAAGAAGGAAATGAGAGGAAGGGAAGAATGTGAGGAAGAAGTAAAGAGCAGACATTTTAACACTTTCACACCATCACATATTGTGCCTGCTGGTATCCGGGTGTGTGTGTCGGTCTAATAGGGGTGTAAGGAAATCATTTTGTGATATTGTATCGATTCTCAAAAACAACTGCTAGACAGCAGTGTTGTAAAGGTAAACTGAGGGCTATGATGCTGGATGCTACAGGGAATACAATGCTTACAGTATTGCAATATATTGAACTGTAACTCCTGCATCGCGATACGTATCGGAACATCGGATTCTTGCCTATACACAGGAACAGGTTTGTGTGCATCAGTCAGCATGTGACCACAGGTGCCTATAACATTTAGAATCCGCAGCACATTTCAAATATAAGACCAGTGCAATCCACTGAGGTGGAGTGAGCTGAGATTCAGAGAGAAGAGACTAAGAGCGGCAAGGTGAGAGAGAAAGACCTTGCCTTATAACAAATACACTAAACTTTTGTCTATCAGTCTATCTAATTGCAGTTTACTTCTGGCATTTGACTTCATCAATGTGGAACTGAACACTGCTTAACAGAGAAGTACACTGTTGAGTAAGGTACAGTGTTAGACGTTAGACAGCCTGCTGCATGCCTATTGGCGCACTGCCGCTGATGAGATTTACTGCTTTGGTATTGAAATTTGACAAGGCGTCAGTATCGAAGCAATTCGGTCGGAGGCATAAAAGTATCGAAATTCTGTACCCAGCCCTAGTTATGGGAGCAATCAAACCTTTCATTCATGACTGTGCAATTGTGATCTGATAATAGAAGACGCGTGTTAAGGCAACGAGAGAACAGAGCTCCAGAAAAATGAAAGACCCACAGTGAAAGGGAGGAAATGAAAGACAACAGAGAAATCTTCTTTTTGATCTCAGTTTTCACACCACCATTGCTTTTATAACAAATAGGATCTTTCTCTTTTGTATTTGCTCCCTTCTTCTCGGGGTGGGGGTGGGTAGGGGTTGTAGGAAATGTAATAATAGAAAGTGGGCAGGCTCTTAAAAATAATCTGCCTCAATTTCATAATTAATCTGTGCTAGGTTTTCACACAATTAGCACGTTAATTAACCCAAAACTGCCACCACTGTGTGGGGATGCGTGTGTGTGTGCATGTGTATGTGTATGTTGGGGGGGGGTTCTGGAAAATGGAGGAAGAGACAGAGTGAGAGACAGAGATGAGTTATCTGTCAGACAAGGAGGAGAAGCGGGGATAAAATTGGGAGGAAGGGCAAAATGACTGGCAGGATTCTCGGTGGAGGAACGGAGGTGAGAGGGAAGAAGTGGAAGGAGATCAAAGACGGGTTGACTCGGGGAAAGGAGAAGGTCAAAGGAGCATGAGGAGAAGAGGAGGACTGAAGCAGAAAGAATGAGAGTCAGTTGTTTGAGTAACTCAGTGAAGAGCGAAGGAGACGGACAAAGAGAAACAGCAGGTAAAAGATGGTAGAAAGTATACTTAGTGTGTGTTCTTTCATGTGTGGGAGAGTTTGTCCCTGTGTTTGTGCATCTTTGACTGTGTGTGTGAGAGACAGAGAGTGTATGACTGTGTGTGTGTGAGAGAGTGTGTGCGTGGTCAACCGGGGAATAAAGTAAAAGTTGCTCCAGCTGTACTTCTGTTTCAACTCTCTCTTCTAACGTCTCCAGACATTACTAGACGACTCAGAGTGATGTCAGCACACACACACACACACACACACACACACACACACACACACACACACACACACACACACACACACACACACACACCAACACACACGCAGTCTACCTTACTTTCACACACACACACACACACACACACCTCAGAGTACATCAGTGACTCTGGGATTGCCTGTCAGGTCTGGCGAGGGGCTGATGGTGGGGGGTGCAGAGCGTTTGTTCCCCAGAACAACTCACAGGTCCACCTCGTTAATCTCCATGACGACAGAGATGCTAAGGCAGCAAATTAGTAGCGGGCGGAAAAAACTGTCACAGGGGAAGCTCATAAAAGAACACAGACTCCAAACTACAGAGGTAGTTTTTAGTTAAACACACACACTCCACTTAGAATAGGTGCACTCACAAACACGGCGATAATGGGACCGAAATGATGAAGCTTACCTCGCTGCAGTGCCTCTGGCTCTCTCTTGCTTATTTTATTTCACGCAAAAACAGCTGGCCAGACAAATAAAGGTGACTAAAGGTACATGGTGTACTGTCTTAGTAATACACATGAGAAAATACATTGTAATGCATTTGTTTTTGATAATGCATTACATAGTTCCAGAAGTAAGCCAATATAACAAGAGTTGATGATGTTTTTGTTGTCCTACTCAACATCAAAAAAAGTATCTTTAAATTGAAACTGTTTGCTTGGGTAAGTTTTGCAAAAAGGAATTAGAATAAGAAGAAAGGACTGTCACGATAACCGCAATAATAAAATACTGCGGTAGTGACAAGCCAGCCACAGGCGGTGGAAAGCCAACCATCACTACGTCATGTTCAGTATTTGTTTTTGCGACAGGAAAGCGTCCCAGAGCTGCGAGGCTACTGCTACATGCAGTGCCACTCAGTATCCCTCCCGGCTGGAAACGCCAGCAGTCTTTTAGTAGAAAACGCCAACGGGTCTGCTAATTATCCCAATCCTGCATCCTGCAACTCACCAGTGTTTCAGTCTAAGGAGTGACCCTGTTAACTGGCGACTCTCAGTGTCACAGACCCAGGAGGCAGGAGGAGGGAGAGTGCAGGTGATCAGTACAAGCAGGTACTGAGATGAAACATAATCTGGCTGTACCGGTTACAGAGTAATTGGAAAATCAACAAAAATGGCAGTAATATTGCATAGTGAGTGACCTTAAGGCACTGTGACCGCCCTAGAAGAAGTAAATAAAACCTGTGTATGTTCACTACCTCTGTGTTTTTCTGCTGCTTTCTCTCCCTGTGTGGGCAATCCAATGCCTAGGTATTATATATGTATATACCTGTAATTACAACACGTTTCTGTAGGCTGAGAGCTCAAATAAAAATACTGAATGAAACTTTTGACTTTAACATTTAATACTTTTGTATAAATGTGCCTATTATAGAAAATGTGTCTTTAAGCGTGCCCTTACAACCTCACTCCTTTAAATCCAGTACAGTGGTGATAACCACAATATAACACAAGTGTACATGGTGTTATGCACCTCAGCACACCTGCAGCAGCATCAGAGCAACACAAGCCATGTGGTGTTTGACTTCATCCAGGCCAAGCTATAAGCACCTGCATTACGTGACGAATGGCCAGGTGTTTCATTATTACACGTAACTTGTCCACTGTGGCTCCTGAAAGAGTTCTCTTGTTTTACACTCAATGGAAGCTTTATGTGTAATTTTGACTGTTTTCCAAGTCAAGTTTTCCAACCCTCCGGGGTGCAGCCAAGTGGTAAATTGCACAACAGACAGCCCACAAGTCAAAAAGAGCTCTTCATTTCATCTGTCTCACACCTCTGTGTGTGTGTGTGTGTGTGTGTGTGTGTGTGTGTGTGTGTGTGTTTGGCTAGCTGCTGTGTTTGCTAGAGTTTATTTTAAATGTGTGCAGGAAGAACACAGTTGCAATAGTTGTGCTGTGAAACCAAGAGACAAAATGAGGAGGCGAGATATTCACAGTCACCCAAACGCAATATCAACACAGTCACACACTCACTCACACACAAAGAGAGTGGAAGAGCTGCGTCTCACTCACCGATCATGTGATTGGCGACATGAATCTGGATCTCCCTTTCTGTCTCGAAGGTCATTTGGCATTTAATACACTGGTAGGTCTTTTTCTGAAAAACAGAAAAACATTATTATAACATTGTTATTTCATTAATAAAAGTTACACACAAAGACATTTCAAGTTCATAAAATACATAAATCACCTTCATACTTCATTATCTAAAATAAAGTAATATATTCCTCCTCTTATAGAGAGGGTTGATTGGGAAAGAAGCCTTATATTTTGTGAAAAATTAAGTTTTGTAGACAAGCAAAAGCTCTTGAGTCCTTTTCATTGATTATTGAAAATCCATTTAATTATATTGTAATGATAGTAACAATTTACCAGTAAATAGAAGGAAAATAAACCTCAACAATTAATCTCGAGAATGGAAGTGGTATTTGAGCATTTTCTAATGATCGCAATTAAAAAAAGCTGATAAGTAAAATACTGAAAAATGTGAAAGATAAGAAAATTTAAGAAAAAAATGCAGTTTTCTTTTTTTTGCACCTATGCTCATTTTGCTGTCATCCCTCAACATGCAAGACATGTGAACCCTACAAAGTCTCACACTAATCAAGCAAGAGTCAAAGTTTTTGGAGACCTGGTGAAAGGAAGAAGAGGTATGCAGTTACACACACACACACACACACACACACACACACGCACACACACACACACACACACACACACACACACACACACACACACACACACCGTAAGACCTCTGCAGAGAGAGAGAGACAGAGAGACAGAGAGATAGAGAGACAGAGAGACAGACAGGAATTAATAAGGGAAGGAGTGAACAGGAAAAAGATTAAGGGAAGAAGCAATGAAACAGAAACAGAAGGAACGAGTGGAGAAGAAAAGAGCACAAGAGAGAAAGAAAGAGACACAGAAAGAACCAGAGAAACATGGGTGAGAGACACAGAAACAAAGAGAGAGAGAGGCAGAGGCTCTGCTTATCCATTCATAGCACACAGCGATCACTCATGCACAAACACATACAAAATACACAAAGGCCCCACTTCCACTATCTCTCTGCTGCTTCAGCCTGCAACACTGACTACACACACACACACACACACACACACACACACACACACACACACACACACACACACACACACACACACACACACACACACACACACACACACACACAGAAATCCTACTTTGTCTGCTTTGTGCTGTTAGACTAAGCAGAAACAAAGGTGCAGGTAAGACAGAGGGTCCCTGGGAACTGCCTCTAACACACTCACACACACACAGACACGCTCACTTGCAAGTACACACTCTCACACACACACAGACACGCGGCAAGTCCCGGGGAGCCTGACTGTCAATATCAAGTAGAGCGAACAGCTCCCACAATGCCTCAGCACGCCCCAGCCGCAGGACCCAGTGGGGCTCAGCTGACACACACCGACATACACACAAGCACACGTATGCTACAGACACAGAAGCAGTAGCACGCACCAACACTTCACACACACACACACACACACACACACACACACACACACACACACACACACACACACACACACACACACACACACACACACACACACACACACACACACACACACACTCATGCAAACGTTCAGTTCAGCAGGATTTTTGAGTTCTGCACTCCTGAAAATGTCTCCATCTGTTAAATGCTGTTTCTTATTAACATGAATTTCAGAGACAGCATTGGCCATAATTATATTGCATAATGTTCGACCAAACTTCCTCACATAAGTAAAAAAAACAATGCAGACAACTTAGTTTGAGAAGTTTTAGAAACCAGAACAAGTTCATTAAAAGCAGTTATCTCTCCATCTTATCACGGCCTATTCTGTCTCACCTTAGGTGCAGGTGAGGCCTCTGCTTTCTTTCCTGCTGCACTGGTTTCAGGGCTGACCTCGGGGTGATCTGTCTGGACGTGACTCTCCAAGTCCTCCAGGCTTTCAAACTTCACCCCGCACTCTGGACACCTCAGCCCGGCCATGGCCTTCTCTCCCTGCGTGTCCCCGGGCGTGGCAGCTCCTCCCTGGTTGGGGCTCTGGCCATTCGTGCCCCTGATTTGATTGAGCAGTTGATTTTTTTTAGTTGATTTCAAAACTGTTGCTAAACCAAAAATAATAAAAAAGTGTTTTCATGTCAATCTGTGTTGCTGTAATGTATGTTTAAGACACAAAGGTTGAGCTTCCTTTTGAAAATGTGTGTTCACCTTCTGGTGGATGCAGAATGATCACTGCACTCACGTCACATATCAAGAGACGCTTTTCCCTAAATTGTTCCAAAGTTGGTGTCTAACATATACCTTTACTTTTTTCCTTAGGTAGACAATTTGCATAAATGTCACAATACATGTCTGGAGGGGATCTTTAAGTTATCCTAGTACTCATGTTTAAATGTCTGTAGTATACCAATGTGCTACTGTTTAAAGTATGTCTATATTAGCACACACCCTTATCCACAGGGTTTAAAGGACGCTACCAACCTGTTCATGCAGCCAGCACAGAGCCCATAAGGCAGGCCGTTGACATCCAGCTTCACCAGCTCCCCTTTGTTCTTGAACTCCTTTAGGCAGAAGGCGCATTTATACAGCTTATGCTGCTGCAGCTGCCCGTTAGGGGATGAAGAGGCTGAGCCGTTCCCTCCTCCTCCTCCTACTCCATTCCCGCCTCCCGCTACAGCTCCTCCAAGTCCAGAACCGGTGGAAAGCTTCTGCATGTGGAAGGTGCCGTGGATCTTCAGCTCCAGGGTGGAGGTGACGGTCTGCATGCAGACGACGCAGCGGAAGCCGGTGAGGGAGTTGCGGAGGTCAGGGTGCATCTGGCAATGCTCTATAAACTCCTCCTCGCTCTGAAGGGGCATCTTACAGATTCGACAAGTTCCTGTGTCCAGGCTCTTACTGTGGGTCACCTGCAGAGAGGGAATATACAGAGACAGCATGAGCATAATGACACAGCAATACTACCAGGTTTTTATCAGAGGATAGAGGCATATACACAATCTCTGGGAAAAATACAGTGCAACTAGTGCATGTGCAGCTTGTTTTCACTGTTCACTGGTTCTTAGAATTTATTGCAAAATAAACTGAATTTGAAAACAAGATGCAGTTCATTCAGTGTTGTTAAACTTTAACTGTAGCTTTGCAGGTTCAGTTCATCTACCAACACCGAGGTCAATGACGGTCTAACAAAATTATTCATCATAATCAATATGGTTGTGCATGAACACTTTATAATTAATTAAATCGCAAAAAATAAAAAAGAATCAAAAAGGTCTAAAAAAAAAAAAAAAGCACCAGATACATCTTTGTCACAGTCTTTAATATATAAATATAAACATCTAAAAATATTCATGTTAGAATATCTGACTGTAATTGCAAACATATGCAAACATTCCTGCAGTGTGTTGAAGCACAAATTGCCTCTCCAAGGACAATTTAACATTTTCTTAAGTCTAAATTCAAAGCAGATGAAGAAGTTTGAGGATCAAAAGGCAGGTACACAGACAGAAAGTAACACAAGAGAAAAGTAAAACATGCATCTGCACAGACTGCTGTGTTGTTATACCTGTGAGGGCACCCACTGACTGCGTTTGTTCCTTACATATAAACCTCCAAATGACACAGATACCTCAAAAGAGACACACGTAGACACATATATACACAGATGGGTGACAATCTAAAGGAAAAAGCAACACAAATCTCCTGGTGTCTGGATCTCCATTCTCCCATAGGTGTTCAATTGATTCACATCAGTTTTATTCTCATCAAACCATTCAATGACTCCTTGTTTCCTGTATGAAAGCATCCGCAGTTGTCATATTTCTCCATTCGTTCATTCATTTTCCTTTAATTCGCCACCCGTCTGTATATAAACACAGGCTGGAAAGCAGTAAATATAACGGTACCTTGTGTTCAGTGAGGGTTAGCAGAGAGGGGAAACGCTCGCCACATATGGGACACATGTAGTGTTTGGCAGGGCCACGATGCGTCTGAGCGTGCTCACGAAGCCCGCTCTCAGAGAAGAATGTTCTGGAGCACACATTGCACTTGTGGTTCCCCTTGATGAAATCTGCCTTCTTCTTTCGAGAACCTGGTATATAAAAGTACTTTCATCATCATAGATAAACTTTATTGTCCCTGAGGGGAAATTTGTCTCTGGGCACAATCCATGATAAAGCAAAAAAATATATTGTTCTGACTATAATTACAGCTACATTTTATAGGTCTCCTTTAGGAAATTACATTATGATAAGCCACTGACTTCAAATATCTAATTACTGTATATAAAATATAATATATATTAAGATTTAAAAACCCTTCAAAACAAGCAGTTGATGATTTAAAATGAATCTTACAGGCGTCGTCTTCTCCCGGTCGGATGTTGTGGTCACGCAGCCGGTGGTTCTGCAGAAGCGACTCCATGGTGTAGGCCGCTCCGCAGATATCACAGGCATACATGGGTTCCGAGTTGTCCAGCTCCTCCTCACCCCCGCTAGCCTCATGGCTGTTGGCAGTGTCTCCTCCCTGGCCGGCTCCTCCCCCGCTCTTCAGCAACATGTTCTGCAGGTCGGCCTGTTCAGCAGCCGCCACAGTTGCTCTTTCGACGACTCCTGCACCTCCGTTGCCACCACTTCCTCCTCCTCCTCGCTTGGAGGACTGCGCGAGCCCATTGGGCGTCCCGTTCTGACTCCCGCTGCTCCCTGTACCCCCTCCGTTGCCAGTGATGTTGCCGCCATCGAACACGCAGTGCTTCTCCCTCAGGTGTCTCTCCAGCAGTGAGATGGCGTGGAAAGCTTTGCCGCAGAAGCGACATGTGAACTTCTTGCTGTGCGTGGTGATGTGGCACTGGAGCTCCACCTCTGTTCCAAACGTCTCTCCACAGAAGATGCACTTCCGGGGCTTAAGTCCTGAGAGACAGAAGACAGGTTGAGATGTGAAGATTCAAGCTCTAGCAAACGTACTATAGGGAGACCAAAGTACGCACTGTTCCTACTCCAATCTTCATTTTCTTCTTTAGTATATTCTTTTCTTTTTTACTATCAACACCATGATCATTATACATTTCTTTGAGATAGTTAGGTCTACTTTGGGTCTCTAATGAAACCCTCATAAACCCAGGAAACTTGTGCTGTACCTGCTCCGAGCCCTCCTGGGAGGCCTGACCTCTGGCCCAGGTGGTTATGCTTAACATGGAGCTGAAGATCCGTCTCCTTCCTGAAGTCCCAGGCACAGGCTGTGCAGCGAAACAGCTTCTTCTCATTGCTATGCTTCACCGCCAAATGCACCTGAATGGAAAAAGAAAGGTAAAAGGAAGAAGCAATCCAAGAGGGTTCATGCTATGGTTGTTTCACTAATGTATTCTTTGTAAAAATAAAAAACACCCAAACAAACGAGGCTGTCTCATTCACCTGTATGGAGACCTTGGAGTCAAAGACCTCCTGGCAGAGAGTGCAGTGGTACAGGACAAACGTGTGCATGTCCAGCAGGTGTTTCTGCAGGTCATCTACCGAGGAGAACTGCTTATCGCAGCTCTCACACACATACTGGGTGGACGTGGTGGTGTAGTGCACCGTCAGGTGTTGAAGCAATGCCTCCTGGGATTCAAAGTCCTCCTTGTTGCACTGGGGGCAGGACTGGCGCCTCAGCAGCATCTCCAGGTGTGACTTTAGGTGGGTCTGAAAACCCTCAAAGCTGGCGAATCGCAGGTCACATTGGTTGCACGGGTAGTCCCCATTGCTCCCCATGGAAGGGGTGGAGTCCCCTCCCAGTCTGTGGCGTTTTGGGGAGGAGATCTCTACATCGGAGGAGGCGGGGCTTAGGTCGGCAACCTTTGCCTGCCGTTTGTTGTTAGCCAACGGGATGTTCTTGTGGTTCTCCTTTATGTGCTTGGTGAGCTTGAGGAGTGAGCCGAAGATAGGAGAATTGGTGCAGTAAGGGCAGGAGTAAACCTGTACATGGACAATAACTCTTTACTTTTTTTAAGATTATTATACATCAGCAAATACTGTTATTTAGCTGTTGGAGATGGGACAGATGGAGAGATGTAGAGAGAGACAGAGACAAGCATAGGTCATACACTAAAGTCAGCACCATAACTTTCAGTTCAGACATAATACATTTATTATTAATTGATTATTAGGAGATTGAAAACATTACAAAGTGCCTTTTAAAGCCCTCATATAATGTAAATAATCTGTGGTCACAATTTTGTCAGTAATGTACTCAGGAAATAACTTGTTGCCCAGCACCTGAAAACTAAGAAATAAAACATTTTGTTTGTTTAAACTCCAGACCAGACCAACAGTCACCTGCAGTAACTACATAATATGTACAATTGTCAAGGATCTTAATCAGAATCAAGCAATATGCTTTATTTAACGACAGACAAGCAACATCTTATCAGCTCTCATTAAAAGGCTGTCATTGACTAATTCTTGATCCTCACCTCCATGAAGGACTGAGATGCAGCCTGTAGTACAGGAGACTCCAGTTTGGCCACCCCTCCTCCAGACGCAGCCGAGCCCCCTCCGACGGAGGTGCAGTGCGTCTGCTGAATGTGTTCTGTCAGCGAAGACTCCGTCAAGAATCCCATGGAGCACTGGTTGCAGAAGAAGGCATGGTTCCCTTCTAGGATGGAGAAATGAAGTAGAATAATTTACTATGATGATACACAATACAAACACATAAGAAACCCTATACTCTGACATATTTAAGTTACTTTCAGTCGACCCTTCCAAAGTCCCGCCCCTTTTGGAGCCTCAATCAACCCCCTTCCTGCACTTAGATGTGCTATGTGCTACGCTAGTCTATGTCTATGTAGATGAGCCTAGCACACAGCAGCATATCTAAGTACGGAAAGGGAAAAAGTTGACAAGGTTCTGGTCGAAGCTTGCTCAACTGTTATTGGAGCACAGAGCAAAAAGGGGCGGGACTTGGGAAGGGTAGCTTTCTTCAACAACACACCTAATGTGGTGGACCCCGCCACAATCCCGCCAGGCAGGCAGTGTGACACTCTGATGTGTTCCTGCAGAGAGTTGATGTCTCCAAACATTTCTGGGCAGTAGTTACAGTGGAAGGCTGTAACATTAGTGAACTGCAGCAGGGGAAAAGCTGCTGCTGCGCCTAGGGTTCCTCCACTGCCACGGTGAGCTTTGCGCACATGTTCGTTGAGGTTGTAGAGCGTTGGCAGAGTGTCCAGGCAGAGATGACATGTATGGTTCTGCTGCGGCTTATCCGCATGGATGGTCTTTAAGTGGATCTCCAACACCGCCAGGCTGTGAAAGTCTCTCTTCGAGCAGTAAGGGCAAGAGTACGTCAATTTGCCCCAGTTCCCTCCACCAACTGTAGAGGTAGACACACACACACACACTGTGACATTAGGCTTTCAAACCAAGTGTTGGCTATCAGATCAAGTGATGTTACTGGACTCATACTCTCTAGATAAGCGACTACTCCATACCTCCGCCTTGATGACCGAGGCTGATCGCAATCTCTTCCACAGTGTCTGTGCCTCTTCTGCGGCCTCGTTCGATGACCTGACTGGGCTTTAGAGTAGAGTCCGGCGTGGAGCCTCTCTCCAGGCTGGCGCTAGAGTCGGGAGTAGCCGAGCTCATTGAGGCCACACTGCCCAGTGCAGGGTCAGGACTGGCGGCGCTGTGATTGGAGGAGTCAGGCTGGCGATGGCTGTCTAGGTGGCAGTAGACATCCTCCACTGATGGGAACTGTTCTGAGCACACAGGACATCTGGGGAGAAAAGAGAAAAAGACCAGTAAAATGCAAGTTCCATTCCAGCATTCCACATTAATGAAAATCAGTGGTTTGCAAATGTTAAGCTCTGCAGTACTTGTGCTTGCGGTTGGCATGCTGAGTTTCAATATGCGTGAGGAGAGAGGCCTCGTCTAGAAAGATCTCAGGACAGTGGATGCATTGCAAGTCGGCTCGGTCAGACAGCTGCGGGTGTCTGGTCAGGACATGTTTCTCTAGCTCGTCCGTGTGGCTGAACGTCTCCTCGCAGTAATCACACATATACAGGTCCTGCTCCAGGTCACCGTCTCCTCCAACTCCCTTCTTTCCCCCATCCCTCTCACTCCTCAGTGCAAGGTGCTCTCGGTTCTTGCGGTGAGCCTGCCAGTCAGAAAGTGGTCAGGATTTAAAGAAGTATGTGTTGTAAAACAACCTGTCAAAAGGTTTTATATGATGACAATAAGCTAGGACCTCCTTCTTTTAAAATGAAAACGCATGTTTACCTGCATGTGGCTCTGCAGTGAAGAGGTGGAGGAGAAGCCACGCTTACACACACTGCACTTAAACGGTTTGCTGGAGCTGGAGGTGTGAATAAAACAATGAATCAGACTCAGGTTAATCAATCGTTTTTAAAGATCGAAATTAGATGAGATAAATGAAACACCGGATGAACATGTCAATTAACATCGAGTACAGATTTCACGACAATAGGCTCAGAAGCAGTTACCTGTGTGTTTTCAGATGGATCTTCAGGTGATCAGAGCGGGAGAATGCAGCTTCACACTCCTGACAACTATACTTCTTATCTCCTGTATCAATTAATAGATTTATGAGAGATCATTTCTTCATAAAGAAACCTCAAAACACTGACAGCCAGAACACGTGTCGCCACTGTTGAGGGTAAATCTCCTAACTCAAGTCTGATTCTGGTGTTTTCCCTCATTTACTTCTTGAATAACGAAACATTGCAGGTTTATAAAATCACTGTGGATCTGCTACCCATTAGGTCCTAATATGCCAATGCATACTTAGCAGGCCTGGGAGACATAAATCCAGGATGTATTGTATTATCTACCTGTGTGGAGTTTGACGTGGCGGTCTCTGCTCCTCTTGTGTTTAAACAGGCGGCTGCAGAAGGTACACTTGAAAGGCAGCTTGTCGCTGTGGATCTGCTCATGGCGCTTCAGGTAGCTCAGACGGCTGAGGAGGATCAGGAGGAGACGGACGATGAAAAGCCATTCTTAAAGGCTCAGTTACAGTAATTTAAATGGCATTTTTAAGAGCGTAACAAAATAAAACAGCCATACTAAAAATACATTTAAACAGTAAATACATTTGTAGTAAAATCATTTAACATTATAGTGACTGCTGGTTTTTACTGCTTGGGTACCTTTAAACTAAAATCTAAAATCTAAACTATTTTTAATATGACTGCATACATCTACTCAGCAATAAGGGAGGAACCAGAGAGGACAGCTAGGTAAAAGAAATGATAAAGAGGATTATGATGATGACTTCATGGTGTATGTGACAGCTGTTCTTAAAGTGGGTCTTGAGTTAGTCCCTGGAGAGGTTAGCGAGAAATGTATTCACCTCATTCCTCTTGCTGTTTGCCTTAGTGGTCCATGTTACCATGGTAATATTGAGGATACTGTTTACTCATGTACACATTGATATTCATGATATGAGGATGCAACTAAACCACCAAATGTGACATTAGTCTTATTGTCTGTTGCTGTGTTGTGTGTGTGGCAGGGCACCGAGATGTCACCTGTAGCATTCCAGGAGAACCAAAAGTGTGAGTTTTAATACCTGAAGGACTTGTCACAGAACTGGCAGGGGTACGGCAGACCAGCGCCTCCTTCCTCCTCGCCGCCGGTGGCCATGCCAAGGTCACAGCAGCCATCGGGCATCTGTGAGGGCGATGCCACATCTTTACTGGAGGGCGAGGAAGGCACCCAGGACAGCCCTGCTGGGTCATCATCGCCATCTGACAGAGAGGGATACAGACAAAGGGATTTTCTTTTTAAAGCCTTTGAATCATGTACCGCAAGGAAACACAAATACACTTTTTTTACACAGCTGCAGGATTTACAAAAAAAGAGACAGGCGAGCACAGACAGAAAAAAAAAGTGGGGGTAAAACAGGGAGCATTAGAATGATTAAGAAGAAGTTACATCTTTCTTGGAAGGCAGAAGGCGGGAGTCAGCCTGTGGGAGTTCAAATGAGAAAAAGAGGATATAAACAAAAAAATAAACACATTTATCCTGGTGACACACACACATATACAGAAGGAAAATGAGGATGGCAGAGATAAAGAGAGAGAATGAAAAAGAAGAGAGAGACACACTCCGGCAGCAGCAACATCTAAATAGAAAGCTCCAAGAACTATGTATCCCCGACGGAGCCCAGAAATAAGGACAGAGTGTATTTTCTCTCCCTTCATCCTCCCTCTGCAGCCATCCCTCGTTCCATCCCTCCCCTCACCTCCCCTCCCCTCCCATCCCTCCATCCGTCCCTGAGGACCATAGATCCGCCTCATCATATTTTCATTAGGGCCTTGGCAGATTGAAACGTCGGAAAAGCGATTAGGAGATGTGGAGAGCAGAGCGGAAAGATGGCGATATTCACTCCCTTTATCTGTCATACATTGGAGATTATGCATTGCTCTTTTTCCTTTTTTTCCCCCTCTCCCTCTTTTTTCTCCCCCCCTCTTGTGTAGTCTGGCACAGAGGCGACAAAAAGGCCACGACTCCTTTAATAGACACTTCAGAATGGATACGTGGTGACAAAAGAGGGGGCAGAATAATGCTTGATATTGTTCTGTTCTTCTTTGTGCGCTCTGTGAAGCAGCACAGCACGGCTATTTAGCATTTGCCTGAGAAATGTAAAGGAGAGAGCAGATGAAGAGAGAGAGAGGGAGAGGGGAGGCTGTTTTCTTTGCTTTTATCTGATTGCTGTATCAACTAGGCCAGCAACAAATCAAAGAGAGAAAATAAGGAAACTAGAGTGATAGGACGGAGAGAGTAGAGAAAGTCTGAAGTGATTCGAGCCAATATTCATCATAAGGCCAATATTCCTGCAAAGCAAACACTCAAACATATGAGCACAGACACATGTGCAGAAGAGATGTTTCTCCTGATACTTTTAGAAAACTCTCCAAAGCACACACTGTTTTACCTACTCCAGCCGCAATCTTGTGTGTCTTTGTGTGTGTGTGTGTGTGTGTGTGTGTGTGTGTGTGTGTGTGTGTGTGTGTGTGTGTGTGTGTGTGTGTGTCTAGTCTACTGAGTATTGCGCCTTGCAGAGAGGGGGTGGAAAACAGATTCTTGTGATGAATCGATCGCAGAGAAAATGTAGGCACTGCGATGAGCAAATAGAACTCTGCAGGGGGGTCTGGGTTAAAAAAAATTGTAAAAGCATGACTTATAAATTTGACTGGAAGCAAGAAAGAAAATAAAAAAGGCTTAAGAAAATATAAGGAATAGAGATATCAACATGAAGCCTAGCAGCAAGGCAAAGGGAAGGGAGAGCGAGTGAGAGAGGAAGAGAGTGAATGAGAGTGAATGAGAGTGAGTGAGAGGGACAGATGGGACGGGGGGGACAGAAAAATTGAGATCTAGAAGGAGGGACAGAGGGAAGGATGAAGAAGTGCATGGAAGTATTGACGGGGTGGAAGGAGAAAAGCAAACAATGTGTCATCCTTGAGCACACAGAGACTGAAATGAGAGCACAGGAGAAACAAATCAGAAAAAAATGAAAACCGAGACACAATGAGATAGGAAGACTTGAGAGGAAGAAACAAAAAACTGGGGAGGAAAACAGAAAAATAGGGGGATACTCTTTGACTCAGATTACTCAGATTACTGTAAGCATGCCAACTGTATAAAATACTGTTGTTCTTCAATGATCCACATTGCTGTGCATTAAGTGCATTGCAGTCCACTGGTTCTCAAGCTATGGTACGTGTACTACTGGCAGTACGTTAATTAATTAATTTAAAAACAATCAATATACTACAACAATTCTAAGTGAAGTACTTAAAACTATGCCAGAAATGTAACTTTGGTATTTCCTGTACTATCATGTTTAAAAAACAAGCCGGCTACTCAGTCACGTTCATGCACAGGATTAGTTATGAGCTAAAATGTGACGGTAAGACAGTAAGTGGAGGTAAAATGAATGGTTCACAAACTGCAATCATGTCTCCAAACTGGAACTACTGGGAAGTGTGGACCAGGAGTACCCCTTATCCATCAAATCAGTTCTGGTTCTTGAACTGATTGCATTCAGGATTCAACTTCAGTCAACAATAAATAATCTTCTGGCTCTTTTTACAGCACAGCACAAACAACACCCAGGGCTGCACAATTAATAGAAATATAATCAAAATCATTCTACCCTATCAGATTTATTGAGTGTACATATGCCTTGTTGTCCCAGTTTGGTGATCTTGAATGATACTTATTCAATAGACTTCCCAGACTTAAAATCCCATATTCTATTTGCAGGTCTTACAGCTGCAAAATAACTGTTGGCTTTAAGATGGAAACCTCCCTATTTACTCACCTGCATGCAACGGCTGATATCTTTTCTGAGCCTTACACATACGGACCGGTCTATAGCGAAATACATACATACATGGAGCAAGAGAAAATACTTTCCAGACATGGTCCTCTGCACTAAAAGGGTTAAACAGCTAGTGGCCTGAATAGGGGAATGTATATTTGATGAATGGAAGTGCACCTTGTTGGACTGTTGGAAATGTATGAATTTGTGTTTGTCATTGTATTGGACTTGTTGTCTTATACTCATTTTTGTCAAAATAAAAACAATTAGAAACAAAATATTATCAAAATCGCAGAAGCTGCAGTTTTGGAGGAGGTGCCCTGAACTACAAGTCTTGTTTTCCAGATTTAAGAAAACATTTTTGTTTACAGTACAGAACCCCAACAAATGTCACAGCATCATGATATTAATAGTTTTTTTCAGTGAAAATGAAATTTGTGATGCAAAAATAATACTGAATATTCACAATATGATGTTTTTACCAAAAAACAGCCCTAGCAGGACCCTCAAACTGATGCAGCAAAATGGGATTCAGCTGACATTATTTTATCATTTACACCTGTTCTTTCCCTACTGTGACATGTCAAAAATGTCTCTTGTGAAAAATGCCGTGAAAAATGTCAAACTGTAACAATACAGTGTTCTAGCTACATGGAGCAAGGCTGGTGTTCAGATAAAATGTGTCTATAAAACGTCAATCCAGACACCCCCTGCTGCCCACTCAACAGGGTACAAGTCTTTTAGTGTAGCCTGAGAGAGATTAGTGGCACTGTCTCAAACACAAGCATCGTACACTCTCACCTTTTGTCTCTCTCTCATGTCTGTGTCAAACAGGATTCACTTAACAATGATGAGAGAGAGAGAGAGAGAGAGAGAGAGAGAAGAGAGAGAAGAGAGAGAGCATGCAGTCAACACCAGGCACAAAATGGTCAGTAGTTGCTTAGCAAAAAGAACAAAAAAAAATCAAATCTCAAAGAAAAGCCAAGTAGAGAAGAAAAGACTGTAAATGAACCAACGAAAAAACAGTCAAAGTGTTTTTTCACAGTGCTGGTCTGGACACATGTGGACCATTATACACACCCCAGTATGAGTCAGTGCGATGGTAAAGTTTGTGAGGTGGGAAAGTGGGAGGAAGAGAGACAGAGAGTAAAGGAGAGATTGAACAAGAGAGAGATTGAGTCAGAGGGAGAAATCACTTTTTGAGGGGGGATGGAGGGGTGCTGAGAAAGAAGGGGAGGAGAGATTAGCGTCATTAAAGAGCCCTAATCCTCTGACTAGCGTGGCTGGCGCTAAAATGGAGGATCACACGGCTTTTTAACGGCGCCTTTGTCAGTCGGCCGCAAGGGGACCTGGCAAGACAAGGCCGAATGGCAAACTGGGAGAAACTGGAGGACGGGGAGGGGGGAGCGAAGAAAATTTCAATGAAAAGTTAAATTAGAGAAGAATCCTCGAGAGAAGATGAGGAGGATGGATGGTTGAGGGAGGGGGGGTTGGAGAGAAAAAAGAGGGAGAAAAAGTAGTTGGGAAAAAAGGGAAAACAGGCAGGAGCACGCGGACGCCGACACACGCTGTTCTACCCCCATCTCCTCCTCCTCCTCCTCCTCCTCCTCCTCCTTTCTGTTCTTCTCTGGCGAACGAAAACGAACGAGAGGAGCGGAGTGGAGGACCACAGGGCCCCAACAGCTCCGCTCCCGCTTTATCTCTCACTCTGCAGTCCTCTCCTTTCCCATCCATTCCCTCTATCCTTCATCCCTCCCTCTGTCCCCAGCAGTCCCTCTCCTCTTCTGTCTTCATCTCTCTTCCACTACCTCCCTCCCGCGCTCCCTCCTTCCGTCAGCTTTCATGTTGTTACTCATTATAGCTCTGACATCTCTCCCTCCGTCCCTCCATCTCTCCGACAGTCTCTCCCCTACTGGTGTTGGCCTTCACCCCTGTGTCTCGGCCTGGACGGGACCGAGGGAGAGAGGCGGGGGGAGACGTTCCAGATGGACAGACTCTGAACTCCAGAGGAGAGGGAAGAGATGGCGGTATGAAAGGGGAGACGAGAAAAAAGAGGAGGAAAGGAGAGGAGAACCCAGGGGTCTGTGATAAGACATGGAAAAGGCCAGAAAAGAACCAAACGGACCGCCTGAGTCTACCTGAAACAACAGACGTACACAAACACACACGCAAACAACGCGCACACACACACACACACACACACACACACACACACACACACACACACACACACACACACACACACACACACACACACAAAAAAAAAACAAGTGTGTCTCTCTAATAGGCCAGACAGTGTGGCAACGTGTGGAGGACACAGCCTTGGTGAAACACTCTAATGAAGAGACACACACGCTGATCAATCTCTCTTTATGTTCCTGCCTCCCCCGTCTACTTCCCCCCCACAGTATTCTAAACTCA